TATCAAGCTTTAATTTGCACATGTAGCAGGGTCTCCCCTGGGGCAGGCAGCCCCCACAGCTGACAGGGCTCCCAGAAGCAGAGGTGCACCAAGGACTGCTGGGGCTTATGAGTCTCATAACTGAGGGGACTCTCAGCCCCAGCAGCTTCCAACTCTGCAAGAAAGCCCCAGGCCTGAGGGATCACAACTGCCATGATCACCCAGCCTTGGGGTCCATAAAATCCCCAGGGTTCCAGGATCACATACGATTCCATTCATCTGGTGTGTGGGGTGCCCCCACAGCTGGGAGCCCCTCAACTAAAAGGCTCCCGGACTTAGGGCCTTGATTCTTGCTGGTGCAGGGGGAATCCAAGATCAGGTTCTCCCCAAATCAGCAAAAGGGCACAACAGGATCTAATGCACAATCTCACAAACATGCCTCCTGCCATGGATGGATCTCGCATTAGATCCCTGCATGTGTACAGGGGGCCTCAGGGATGTAAAATAAGCTCTAAAGAAAGGAAATGGCAATGCACAGACCACACTCCCAGCTGAGCTCTGTTGAGATGGGCCTTCCTAGAACACAACCTACTGTATTTACTTTTATCCAATATGAGGGTTTTTCCTCCAGCCTCAGGGCCAGAGCTCCTGGTACTGCAGGCTGGAGCCAGAGTAAACATGTGCTCCAAGTTTGAGCCAGAGACAGGAAAGATAAGCAGCAGCTGGAGATGCAGGGAGGGCATGGCACAGCGATTGCAGGGGCAGGCCTATATGTAGAGTGGCCAGGTACCAGGGGGCAGAGGGCAGGAGTGCAAGAGGGAAACTGATGGGTGGGCGAGGTGCAGGCAGCAGGGGAAGGCAAGTGATGGGGAGCACTGGTGGCAGGAGGCAAAGGACAAAGGTCAGGCCCTGACCCCGCAACTGCCTGCCCCTGTTGCCAATTGCCTTGGTGCAGTGGGGCCGGGAATGAATTTAAGACAACCCTCCAACAGTTAGATTCTATACATGGAAAATTATAACACATGTATACATTTTCCATGTATATAATAATTACTTGGGGGGCCTTCTTAAATTCAAAGTAGTCTTGGCTTTGGGTAACTACAGTTCACAGCTGGGGCGATCCACAGGAAGGTCCCAGCTCGGGTCCAGAGTTGTCGCCGCCCCCGGTAGGCATCTCATCCAGCCGCGGCTCGCGTCCAGCCCCACTTCACCCCCCAGCCCAACCAACCCAGCCCTTAGAGCCAATCCTTATCCTGAACGGTTACTAAAATGAGGGATTTGTATAACTGATGAAATAGTCACAGTACCAAAAGTACAGGTTGCAGGAGTATGTGAGAGTTGCTCTGTCTTCTGAAATATGTCTTAGGATTTGCATATTTTGCTTCTTTGATACTGTCCTTTGTTTCATCTATTTAATTTTTCTCCCTTTTTAGAACCTGTTATCTGGCCTTTTCAGAAAAAGGATTCAGAGTTAGCAGCAGGGCGGTACTGGAAAGTTTGCATTGTTACTGCCTGTGCTGTTCTATCTCTTTGCATCAACAGAACTCTCAATACCACACCTCCAATAAGGGCTAAATTCATAATCTGTATAATTTTAAATAGAAAATCATCTCTCTCTGAAACAAAAGCAACATCCACCCACATAGAAGAGCCAGCCAATGATTAAGGTATTCACATTAAATAGTAATCTGGTTTAAAATAAGTAATTTGCAGTTAGGCTTTTTTCTCAGAAAATTCATTACAGAAAGCAGACTGTGTCTTCGATTTTTTATTCTACAAAGCCACTAATGCTTCCATGAAGAGATAAAAAATACAGGCAACTTCAGTTGCATTCAAATTTTGTATCATCTAATGCAATGCAAATTATATTTTGTATATTAAATCCTTTTAAAATCAATTTTAAAAGTGTAATAGCATTTCTGAACTCAAACTATGGCAGTTTATGATATAAAGTATAAACCTGTTAATTAAATATCATCAGGTGTTTTCTGCATCCCGATTATATATTTTTTTACTTTCAAGAGTGTGAATTACAATAAGCACTGGTTGATTCTATGGCATGGCTTTATTCTCTGATAAAATAAAGATCATGCCATCATCTTAATAAACATTTATTTAGCCTTATATAGTGATTTGCTTTAAATTAAAATTGCGAGGAAGGGCATGAATTTAAAAATGAATTAATAAACAAAAACTGAAAAATGTGGTTGAAAAGGAAAAAAACATTGAAGAGGAAGTCAGAGGCTTCGAGGAAGTCAGAGGCCTGTGTACCTACTTAAAATGGGATCCCACCCAAAACATAGTGAATTCAATACAAATCTACACATCCATGTTTTGGAGCAGGGCCAAATGTTGCAGATCTTTGTGAAAATAACAAAATAATTGACTATTCCCTTTACTGTCATCATGCACAGGAGTACATTTATTCTCTCTAATCTCATTCATTTCATTCAATGAGATGTAAAACCATGTTTAAAGTGCAACATGTGCTTTTGAACTGAGGCTTTGTATGTTGTAAATCTACTGATTCATAACACAATTGAAGTATTGACTTCATACAGACTATAATTTTATTTTAATTATTTGATACATGACTGAAAAAACCTGTCAATAGGAATGCCTTTTACTGGGTCAGACCATAGGTCTATCTTGCCCAGTGTCCTGTGTCACACAGTAGCAAAGAGTGGATGCTAAAAGAGAAAGTGAATTGGGTATGACTAGACAAGGTTCTTTAGGTGAATCTGATATCTTTTATTAGACCAACTTAACTAGTTGGAAAAAAGAATTTCTCAGCAAGCTTTTGGGTTTAAAAACCCATCATCAGGCTGAGGAAGCATCTGCAGTTAGTGTGTGCTCTTCCTGGATGGAATGAATAGTAAAGAAGCCAGAGGCTGGTATGCATGCAAGAAAGCCAGTCAGTGAAGATCTAAATTGCTTGCATATTATACTTGCATCATGCATACTATCTTGCATACCATCTTGCATGCATACCAGCCTCTGGCTTCTTTACTATTCATTCCATCCAGGAAGAGCACACGCTAACTGCAGATGCTACCTCAGCCTGATGAAGGGTTTTTAAACCTGAAAGGTTGTTAAGAATTTTTTTCCCCCAACTGTTTAAGTTGGTCTAATAAAAGATATCAGATTCACCCAAAGAACCTTGGCCTATGTCCTTAGACCAACACAGCTACAGCCTATACCCCTTGATATGACCAGGCTTTTTTCCACTGTTCCTCTCTCACTTGCAGCCTCCAGCATTTATGATGTAGAAAGCTCTAATTCAGAGGTTGTGACACTACTTGTCATGCTCAATAGCTACTAATGCCCCTTTCTTCCAAGAATTTTTCCAATTCCATTTTGAATCTGGCTAAACTGTTAACTTACACAACACCTGGTGGCAATGAGTCCCACACTTTTATTACATGCTGTGTTAAAAATAACGTCCTTTTGTTAGTTTTACATGAGTCGCTTTACTGTGCATTAGACTAATATAATATGCAGTAAAGCGTCACTGTCTATATGTGCACAGGACTTACTGAGCATTAAATTAGTCTATGCACCATTTGCCAGTACCAACACATACAGGTACTAGACAAACAGTGCATTAGCTAATGTGCTGTAGTGCACGTGTAGATGCTGACTGGAAGTAATTTGCTCTGGGTCAGCTCAGGCAGCAAGAGGCCCGCTACTGCCTGGCTAAGCCCTGATGCAGAGGAGCTGTGCCAACTGCAGGGGCAGCTGTCTCCCTGCCACATGGGAATTGGGATGGGTCCCAGTCCCCACATGTCTGGGAGAGCTGTGCCTGCTGCAGAGGCAGCTATCTTCCTGTTTGTATAGGGATCGGGATGGGTTCTGATCCCATGGCCAACAGAGCTGTGCTGGCTGCAGGGGCACTGTCTTCTGTATTTCCTCACAGTCCACCTTGGTCTTTACCACTTTGAATAATTTTGTGTCATTAGCAAGTTTGTCCATTTCGATACTCACTCCCCTTTCCAGCTCATTTATGAATTTGTTAAACAGCACTCGGCCCAAAACAGATCCCTGTAGGACCCTGCTGTTTACTTCTTTCCATCCTGAAAGCTAACCATTTATACTCTGTCTTTGGTTTCTAATTTGAGCCAATTTTTAAGCTATTCCTTGTAATCCTACGACAGCCTAACTTAGTTAAGAGCCTCTGATGGGAGACCTTGTCAAGGCTTTTTGGAAGTCCAAATGTACTATGTCAACTGGATCACCCTGATCCACCTGCTTACTGACACTCTCAAGGAACTCTAGTAGGTTGGTGAGGCATGATTTTCCTTTGACAAATCCAGCAATGTGCTGAATAAATCTTTTTTATTATTATTTTTTCCGTCAGTTTTCCAGGAATAGAAGTTAGGCTCACTAGCCTATAAGTCCCTGAATCCCCTCTAGGGGCTTTGTTGAATATTGGTGTCTTATTGGCAACCCTCCAGTCCTCTGGTACTGAGGCTGGTTTTAGTGATAGTTTGCATACTATAGTTAGGAGCTGAACAATTTCCAACCTGGGTTCCTTCAGGACCCTAGCATGAGTGCCATCAGGTCCTGGTGATTTGCTGCTGTTTAGTTTATTAATTTCTTCTGTAACCTCATCTATTGAAACCTCAGTTTGGGTCAGCTCCACTGACTTGTCCCTACAGGGTGTGTCTACACATGCATTTAAGGAGGCATAAATTTAATGCACATTAGCTTAATGCACATTAAGGCGATTTAGGTTTGCATCTACACATGCATGTGTTAAATCCATTAATACCATGTGCGTGGACTAATGTGGGACTAAAGTTAGTCAGTTCATACACAGCATGAATGTGCCTTAATGCATCTACATATGCATTAATATGCTTTAGCTATTCATGCCTAAGTTTGATACTTGCTTTTGCAAGTATCAAATTTAGGCAAAAATAGCCTAAAATCACCATTTTTAAGATGCATTAAGGGCAAGCACATATAGAAGTGTGCCCTTAATGTGCCTTAAATTGAGCTAACATACCTTAAATTAGCACATGTAGAAGCACCCATAGAGGAGTAGATTTGGAGAGGGAATTTCCCTAACATCTTCCAAAGTGAAGGCAGATGCAAAGAATGCATTTAGTTTCTTAGCAATGGTCCTGTCATCCTTTAGTGCCCCTTTTACACCTTGATCATCCAAAGGCCCAACTGACTTCCTTGCAGGTGTTTAGCTTCTAATGTACTTAAAGACTTTTTTATTGTTACCTTTCATATCTTTAGAACAGGGGTGGGCAAAATGCTGCCCGGGGGCCGGATGTGGCCCACCAGGACCAGGCCATTCTATCCGGCGCTCAGGGCCTCTAAAAAATTTAGAAAATTAATATTTATCTGCCCCTGGCTGCCTGTCATGTGACCCTCGATGGCTTGCCAAAACTCAGTAAGTGGCCCTCCGCCCAAAATAATTGCCCACCTCTGCTTTAGAAAATTTCTCCTTAAATTCTTTCTTAGCTTGTCTTACAATTTTACATTTGATTTTCCAGAATTTATGCTCTTTATTTTCCCCATTAGTAGTTGACTTCAACTTTCTGAAAAAAAGGCTTTTTCCTGCTTATTGCTTCTGCACCTCTGCCATTAAACCATGCTAGTTTTCTTTTGGTTTGCATTCCATTTCTTTTTACTTGTGGTATGCATTTGCTTTGTGCCTCCAATATGGTATTCTGAAGCAGTTTCTGTGCTTCTTCCATGTACTTCACCTCCTAGAGGGCCCCTTTTAACTTCTAACCAGCTTCTTTATTTTGGTGTAGTCTACTTTTTTTAAATTAAAGGCTACTGTGGCAGATTTCCTTATCCCTCGTACATGGATGTGAAACCCAACTGCATTGCAGTCGCTATGGCAGAGTGGCTCAGTAACACTTACCATTTGCACCAAATCCTGTGTTCTACTAAGGACCAAGTCAAGAACAACCTTTCCTTTTGTAGGTTTCAGAATCAACTGCTCCAGGAAGCAGTCTTTTATGACTTTGAGATATTTGGTCTCTGCATCTTATCCTGATGTTAAATTGACCCAGTCTGTTTGAAGATAGCTGAAGTCCCCCATTATTACTGTGTTTTACGCTGTTGCAGCCTCTCATTTCCCTCACCATTTCTAGCTTTCTGCTGTCATCCTGATCTGGGAGTTAATAGTATAGCCCCAGATGTACTTTTTGTCTACTGAAATATGGAATTTCTATCCATAAAGATTCTATGGTACCTCTCTTATCAGTTCTAAAATCTACCCTATTTGATTCTATGCAGTCTTTGATGTAAGGTGCCACTTCCCCACCTACTGTATCTTTTCTGTATAACTTGTATTCTGATATTGCAGCATTCCATTGATTTCCTCATTCCATGTTTCAGAGATACCTCTTATGTCAATAACATTTTTTCAATATCATGTCAAAATTTATATATTGCTGCAATCAGGATTATAGTTGTTCTTTTGGTGATTCATATTCATCTGCTGCTCTCAAGGAGACCCTTCTAAATATCGTTTTCTCAGTTTTTAATAGGGACAGGGGTTTACTCTTCTAATTAAAATATTTTAATAGAATATTGCAAGTCATGGTAACTTTATTGCTCCTGAAATAATGACAGTGTGTCAATGTCCTGCTATTGACTTCTGCACATTTAGGTCCTCCTAACTGATTCTTAGATTTCTGGTTTTGTTTTCTTCACAAAACCTTAACTCATTAAAATACACCATCAAGCAATTGTGAAATTAATCATACTTATTTCCCAGTTTGTCCCAATGTATTAAATATCATATAAGATGGCAGTTCATTGATGACAGACAGAAACAAAAAATGTATAGATGTATGATAAAATGTACAACCTTAATAGGCTCTCCATGGGGAGACATCACCTCATCTGAAAGCTCCATCATCTTCAGAGCCATTAAGGCTACTTGCACAGCGTGTGTCTCACTTTCTTTGTGTAAACCACCAGCCACACAATAGGCATCTCCAATGGTCTCCACCTGAACAAACACATTTGGTTCTTACTGTACACGCAGCTTTAAATAAAGAAAACACACAGCGTGGGCTTAAGTACTGTCAGTGGACCGCACCCTGAAGCCAAAGTCCTGTTGGCTTTAGCTAGAATTCTACTAACTGGGCCAAATTGTGCAAAGATCATTTTGCAAGTAAGCCTACAAAGAGTGATATATGTTGGTGATCTGTGATGGTGGCAATGCATTTATTACATTAAAATATTTTTGTTCCTCACCTGCTGTGGGACTTTGCGCTTGCTCTGATCAGTTGTTTACTCTACATTCACAGCAATATAAGTGACAGCAGGATTTTAACCCATGGTTTCTAACTTCCATTAAGTTTCCCATGTGGCTACACAATCAGCTGATTGTTTGTTATCAATCTCTGTGTTACTTTGTAACCTATTATACTATAGAAGATGTTGAAAAATGGGCTGCATGCAGCTCCTGGGCAGTTCTGGTGTAGCCCCTGATGAAAAGCAGGGTAACATGGGTAGTACAGGAGTATTTGTCACCTCTTTGCTATATGAAGACTTTGAAAAGCCACTCCTAGAAGACTGTAGCTTGGCCACTTCCTCAGCTTCCCTCCATGTTATGATCTTACTATAATTAAGGTCAGTATTCAAAAAATTTTTCAAGTCCTATCATTCTCTGTACCATTGGAGTCTCCCTTCCCTCCCTGCCCCAAAATGACATAAAAATGCAATACGTTCTCTACCTTGTAGATATCTAGTTCTCCACACTGGTAATCAAAGCGAGTATAGAGTTCATTAAGCATGGTGATAACCTGCATAGGTGAGCACTGTGAACAGATGGCAGTGAATCCGACAATGTCAGAGAACAGCATTGTGACATTACTAAATTTCTTGGCTTGCACAACTTGTCCCTGCCAGAGCTGCTGAGCGACTTCACCAGGAAAAATTGAGAACAAAAGATCTACCGTCTTCTTCTTCTCCTCTTCAAGAGCTTGGTGGGCCTGCTCCAAAGTAGCTTTTAGTTTTCCTAACCTCTTCTTCAGTTCATCTTGAGCTCTGGCTTGTTCTCCTATCAAAACAACATCCCTCAGTGCATTATGAATTGGAATATCTGAAAGGTACAGTCCACGACCTGTAAAATCTTCTAATCTATCCACACAAGGAGATCCCAAAAACAAGATAGCATTGGATTCAAAAATATAGATCATTTGGCCTTTAAGATCCATGACCTAAAATGAGTAAAGAAAGAATAGTTGAAGCATGTCATCCACTGTCCTAGTTTGAAATGGGAGGACTCAGGGAAGGCACGGTATGCTGTATGATTCAAGAAACAATCTGGTTCTCAGTTGTTCTGTTTCAAATAATTCACTAAATAGAAAATGTGGTTCTGTGCCATTGGAAGCCATTAAATGGGTTTAGTGAATTATTAAAGCTATGGAAGGGCTTCTGGCACTAGGGTTAAACCAATAATGATTGAAAACATATAGACTTATATGGTATCCACAGATATTTGTTTTTACTAGGGAAAAAACAAATCATCAAGAGCAGTTTTGCCCATTATTATATATATACACAATGGTATGCAATCTTTGAATTTGATTATATTGACTACACTGCCTGTTTTATGCACAGTTGTTTTGTATATGAGGAAAAATAGAGAAATCTTTTTGTATTTTAAGACAGTAACTTTGCAAACTAATGCAATTTAAAATTGAAGAGGCCTAAGTATAAAGAACAGTATATGTTAGAATAATAAGGCAGTAAAATACCCTGCCTGAGGAACCTGTAGAATCTTTAGTAGAGGTTTCCAAGAGGTAGGAGAATGATTTGACAGCATTCCTGCATTTGTGTAGTGCTTTGGACCACATGATCCTTGCAGTCCTTTCATAACTCCCTCCCAATTTAGAGATAGCACCAGAATAGCACCCCTCACTACTGTCAGTCTTTGATGAAGCAATGCTGCATCACCCAGGCAAACAAGCTGGGCTGTGGCAACCCTGTCCTGTTTAACTGTCCAGCCAGAGAAGCCATGTGCTGTGCACCCTGCTCAAGTAAAACCACTCTCCTTCTCCCCACAGCCCCATGGAAGTTTTGCCCAGGACACAAAACTCATTAGTTATGTTTCTGCTTTCCAACCCTATGAATCTATTATTCTACATTTTAATTACCTACTGAAGTAAAGAAAATGTATTTTATTAACTATTTTGTTCTTTTATACTTATCACGTATAGGATATGAAAGTGTTCCAGAGCTCTCTTTATGTTGCTTTAATGACATAAATGCTTTTGGAAACTGTGAACCAAAGCAGTCTTTAAGATCTTGCTTTTACTAATAAAAACCTTAGATAAAGTAAGTAAAGTAGGCCCGGTTTTTTGAACATTTTGCCAAGGTAAAAGCTGACTAAAATTTAAATATTTGTCTTTAATAAGGTTCTTGGGATGATGCAGCTGAATGGCAAAATGGTAATGGGTTTTAGTGATCTTCACCTATAAGTCATCAGTTTGAATTTGGCATAGGTCAATAATGATGAAATATTGTTGTCTTGATTATACAATGCCCTGTGTTGTCACAGTCCATTTGTCAGAGTTCCAGTCCACAATACTTAAAAAGAGTCACCACATAGAACTAATAGGAATCTCTGATAGCAAAGATATCAAAGACTGAATTAGCCTTGAGTGTGTTCTATCTGCTTACTCCTCGAGGTGTTCTCTCCAGCTCAAAGATGGGGTGGGTTGAAGCTACTTTCTCTATTCTAGAGATGATCTGTCATCAATCTAATACAATTTCTCCAATACAAAAGTGTCTCTTTACCCTCACAATTCAACATGTTCTTCAAAACAAAACAAAACAGAACAGAACAGGACAGAACAACACAAAACAATAAAGGACCAAATTTAACTCATTAATATTCGCACTGAAGTAAAAAATACTTTTGATGGGGGTAGGGCTTCAGAATTTGGCCTGCTTTGTAGTACAGAACCTTCTATGTCTAACTAGAGGTGAAAGCTTAGTTTACTATCTTCCCCAGAAACTCAAGGCTATACGGTGTTTATTACTATTATTAGTATGCTTTTGTTGTTGTCATTTTTATTGTATTAGCTGTTGGGAAGCAAACAATATAAAATAACAGGTTTTATTTCATCACTGTGACTGGTTTCTGGTGGCCACTGATTTATAACTCTGCCCTCCACCTATCAAAAGAGAAAAAGAAAGGAAGATGTTATAAGGTAAATGGCTAGAAAACAGTTCTTACCCTTGAAGACTTCTTAATAGAACTGTCCCATCTCCTTACTCGTACAGTGAACTGCATATTCAGCATTGCCATAATCCCACTAAACGTGCAGTTTATTTTTGGGGTAAGAATTTCAAAATACTCATCAAAGTTTGTTTTTGGTTGAAGTTCTCTCCTATTCATAAGTCTCCTTATCCCATTGCCAATTTGTAGAACAACCATATCCTTGTCAAACATGAAATGAAATGGAAAGGTCTTACAAAACAAAGCAGCAGAGATTACAAGTGAAGACTGTGGTTTACATGGAGATAAGGAAGGTTTTGTGCTTTTGACTTGTACAGAGTACAACAAATATGGTTGGTTAATAAACTCAGTGCATTCATTACGGAAGCAAGGAGGCATCAATGTCACTTCCACATCAGTTTCATATAAAATACGAGCTGCTGCTTTAATAATACCAGGAAGAATGAGACTAGTTGTTTTTTTAGGAAAGAAATAGTACACATTTAAAAAGTCTTGATCTTTTTCCAGACATAATATGGAGGCTTCTTCAAGTCTGTCCTTTTTTACTCCTTCTTGGCTATGGCCACTCTGCTTCAGAAGGGTACTGAAACTGTTTAAGAAGTCCTTAAGAGTTCCACCAACAACTCCTAAGATATGTTCATCCTCTTCATAGCATATTTTAAAGAGCTCTTCACCAAGGGATTCCTTTGCAACATCTACTGGAACACCTGTAAGCATAGACCCACAATATGATCACATAGGCTCTTTTAAGCAACACACTACACAAAAAAAAATGGCAACGAATTTCACTCTCTCTCCCTCCACCCAACTATAGCCACGTACTTCTAGCACTATTTCTTCAACACTGCACAACCACCAAAGGACTCTGGTTTGGGAGCCCCATCATGGCTTAGCCAAAGATGTAAGAATCACTTCCTATAAAACAGGGACTTGGTGGCTTTCATTACCACAGGTTATCCAATTCCACTTTTCCTTCAGAGATGAAGAGACAGACAATCTTGACTGGGGCTTTCTTGACTAGGGGACTTAAAGTATATATTTGCATAGCACCTACCTCTTGGTCATTAAGCAAATCCTAAATACAGCATTGGTAAAAATAGCCTTGTTTGGTCAATCTAGTACTAGTGTAACACACAAACACAAGGAATAACATGTTTCAATTCAAACTTGGTCTCATTTCTGCAGACTAGAATAGCTTGGCTGCTCTTTGGAAGGCAATACAAAATTGAATAAATCCAGGTTTCAGTTTCAGCTGAAACATTCTAACCATCTATTATAACCTAATCTGCAGAGGTTGAGGCTGTTACTGCCATCTACCTTTCAATATTCGCATCACATTCCACAACTCATGCTATTAGCTGTGGGAATCCTCGGTTGTGTCCCCAGTTTGTCAGCCAACATTGTTTCCTAGTAACAAGATCAGTGGCTAGTTGATATAACTAAACAATGTTACATTACCTGCTAAATCTGCATGTTCAGTGACTGCTTTTTCAAAATCTTCTCTGTCTCCAGATTTTCTACAAAGATCATACAAATGCAAGTAAAAAATATCTAAAAAATCAACTGCAAAACATAATGAAGATGACATTGCGCTGGAAAAATGCTAGCCAAATGAAATACCATTCCCAGGTTTGTTCTGTAATGATTGGTTTTGTTTATAAATACATATTTTTTATTAAATCAAATGTGGGCCTTGAAAGGAAATTACCATCCCCTGTACATTTATGATAAATTAAAGCTTTAATGGTCTGAGCTTGGATTAAGTATTAAGGCCAAAGTATTAAGACCTTAATTGATTAAAATTCTCATTTTTTTTTAGCATTTGTCCTTATAATTGTTATTTTCAACTTTGCAGCATAGTTGTATTTCATAACCTACTATATGATATAATCTGGCTTTTATTGACATCATGCACTTCCCTGAATTAACTTACATTAAAATTAATGTGTGAAAAAGTTTCTTTGTTACTGGTATTATCAGGAAGAATTTCATTTATACAAAAGTATTGATTTCATTGGAGTCATCCCAGATTCACATAACACAAAAATTAGACCCACTAAAATACTTCGAAGCAAAGATCAAAATACATTGACCTGAGAGGTAATCAATGAAAGGAATGCTTTTTAGCGTAGGTCAAGATTTATCTCTATATATCAATTAATCTTGAATACAATACATACATATTGCTCTATTCTACATGTCTTCACTATAAATACTTGGAAATATATTTATGTTATATAAATAAAACATACATATATGTTGTATTTATAAATATATGTTATATACCGTAACAACTCAAGTCTCAATATGTCTTCAGTATCACCCCCACTGAAGTATTTATTAGTTTCCTCTTTCACACCAATATTCAAAAGAAAGCAGAAGAGTAAAGATCCAGAAAATATTCACTGACTATTGCCAATCTGTTCAAGAAACAGCAATTATAACATATTGTCTGGGCCCATCTACACAAGACACTTTATTGCACCGTAGACTAATTACTGTGCAGTAAAGCACCACTGTCTATGCATGTGTGGCATTTACTGTGCAGTTAATGAGTCTACTGTATGGTTGGCTAGTACCTGTAGATACAGGTAGTAGATTAACCATGCAGTAGGTACTGTGCAGTAGCATATTAGCATGCAGTAGCAAATTGCTCCTGGTCAGTTCCTTGTCAGTAAATTGCTCCTGTTTCCCAGCCCTGTGCCTTGGTCTGCCAATGGGGGAAGGGACAGTTGCTGGAGGAGGAGAAACAGCTGCTAGAGGAGGGGGCAATTTCCCAGCCCTGCACCCCAATCTCCCGAATGCGGCATGGGTGTGGGAGGCAGCTGCGCCAGAAGGAGGACAGCTCCCCCCACCCCCCAGAGCCCAGGCCTGACCCTGGTGCTCCCTCCTAGCCTGGGGCTGGCACCCAGAGGAGCCTGGAGCCCTTCCTGGATGCTGTAGGGGGCCAGAGCAGGGAAGGAGTAGCTCTGCACTGAACTGCTCCCTTTGGGCAAAAATTTCTTCCCAACAGGCGCATGTGTACACCTGCTTCTAGGGAAAGCTTCCTGTGCAGCAAGCTTACAGTACATTAACAGCATGTGAAGACGTGACCTCTGTTTGGTTTTTCTTTGGATAAGTCAATGTTTGTAGAGCTTTGAAAAAAAATATAACATCCTTTAAGTGCCACATAAGACTAGGTATTGTTGTTGTTACTGTGAACAATCATATTATTGCCAACTTCAATATTATTCTCCCCTGCACATATAAAAAACAGATGTTAAGGTCAAACTTTTAAAATATCCACTAATTTGAGGAGGATTATTTTCTGTATTCCTGACCTGAGAGACATCTAAGGAACTCTTATTTCATAGGTGATGTGAGTACAGGTAGCTTTCAATGATTTCAACTAATTAATTAATTAGTCAATCAATCTATTATGCCACTCAGAAGTATTTTTAAATGAATTGTTGCACAGAGGAATTAAGTAACATGAACAAAAGAACATATTACAAAACTACATTATCGGCATAGTTGAAACTAGCTCTCTAGAGCCCTCATCTGCCCAAACCAGTACCCATTGCCTCTTGCATACATTTACTACATATTTTTTCTCATAAACAAACCATTTTAACATACCTGTTTTCTTTTATTCTATGCTTTGCTAATGTTCTCTGAAGTGCAAGATTTAACCGTTCAAACTGGAAATGAAAAAGAAAATTAGCTAATTAAAATGCCAGTTGCTTAAAATGTAATCAGAAGTCAATTTTTATAAATAAAAGACTTAATTTGCCTTTTAAGAACTAATACCCCTTTCAAAAAGACAGATTAATTAAAAAGCATAATATGTCCAGTTTTAGGGCTTGGCTTACATCACTGACTTGAGCTCTAGTAAATCTCTAATCAAATCCTCTGGATCTATGTGTCATACCATTTTAACAGAGGCCACATATGGTGATGTGGCTTTATTTCCAGGTGTTAATAAGGAAAACAGCGACAGTAAAACATGCCAATTTCTATGTAACTAAGTCTTACTTTCTAGTGCTATAAGGTAGAAATAGGAAAGACTTAACCCTACAGATCAAAACTGCCATAGGAAATATAGCTGTATAGTACAAGAATATGTTTTCATGTTTCAGTTAACCTTCACCTAAAAACTAACTGCACTTCATAACATATCTCTCAATGAAACACAATGAAAAGTATTCTTCTTAAGCAATGGTATTTCTAGGGGCATTACGGGCCAGCTTCTATCCTATCTATTATACATGTAAGGGAATTTGGGTGTTTAGATGTAATTTGATACCACCCTGCATGAACCCCAGACAAACAATTAGTGCAAAAGATGAGTGGGTTCTCCTCCTGGTTTGCCGATTTGTTTTTGTAACTCAGTCTTAAGGGTAAAATGGTGTTATGTTGCAAAAGTAGATGTGGGAACAGATTTTCAGAGACTTGAGCAGAGTGTGGGGGGAGAAAAAAAATCACATTTTTGAGTTTAAATCCACTTAAGTACCTAACACATGGATTAGAATCTGGCCCTAAGTGCTTCAATATTTTCAGGAGTTTTAGGAAAGAGCCTCACTGAAGGGGGGTCAAGATGAGAAGTGCAAATATAACAAAATATGTTTTCAAATGTAACAAATGCCATGGATATGGTTTGGTGCCACAAATAATGTCTTAAGAATGTTTTTGTGAAACCAACTTGAACCATACATGAAGAAAATAGTTTCATAGTTTCTAGGGTCGGAAGGGACCTGAGCAGATCATCTAGTCCGACCCCCTGCCATGGCAGGAAGAGCACTGGGGTCAAATGACCCCAGTAAGGTGGTCATCCAACCTCCTCTTAAAAACCCCCACGGTGGGAGCCTGCACCACCTCACTTGGAAGCTGGTTCCAGACTCTAGCCGCCCTGACTGTGAAGTAGCGCCTCCTGATGTCCAACTTAAACCTTCCCTCCGCCAGCTTGTGACCATTGTTCCTAGTCACTCCTTGCGGTGCTCGGGGGAACAGTGACTCCCCCAATGCCTGCTGATCCCCCCTAACCAGTTTATAACAGGCCACAAGATCCCCCCTCAGCCTTCTCTTTTGAAGGCTGAACAGGTTCAGGTCCCGCAACCTTTCCTCATAGGACCTACCCTGCTGTCCCTTGATCATACCACAAAGGAAGAGTTTTAAATACAAGAATTACCAGATGGCTGCAAATTCTAGCCTGACTCTGCACATTTGAAAAAAATAACTTAAAATTATAAGAATTAAAGTCTAGAAATAGTCCAAGTAAAAAGTGTTTGATGCAAAGGGCCTATTATGGTGTCCTGAAGATATAATCCCAACTTGCCTCATACCTACTTCTTGCATGTCTAGTCTGCTGTCCTGTCCTAATCCATACTCTGGTCTCAAATAGAGGTTATAGCTCTCTACATCCAAGCTCTGCTAGTTGTTTTGAAGCAGTGAAGCTGCATGGTGCATAGCTCAGTTGTCCATGCCTCCATCCATTTCTATAGCCTCCACAGAAAGGCTATAGAGCCTTTGCAATAACAATGGACCCTCATTTCACAGTCCCTTTTTTGCAGAGTTTCTTGGATCTGGCTTGCCCCATCGCTCTCCTTTTCTACTTCCAATAGATGGGGCAAGAAGGAAGAATACTGAGAAGAAAGCATCACAATAGGATGGCAGCACAGCTTTGTTTTTCAAACAACTCTTTTATACAATTTTAAATGAACAAGATTTAATTCATACATAGATATAGCCAGGAACAGTAGGACAGCTGTGCCATTCATTATACAACTACTAGTAACTCATTTTTTATCTGTAACTTCCTCCCAACAAACAAGCAAGTCCACAAACAAAATAGCCATGTGCATTTTTGCACCCTTGGTCTGATGAAAAGTTAAAGTTTATTGTACCCTTGATTTCTATATACAACTAGAAGCTTCAGGCACTGATCACAGACACCGATATGGCCCTTTGTTTTGAAGTTTTTATTTGAGAGAAAGGTAACATAAATCACTGCTGGTAAGCAGGGCAGCACAACATACTCTTGGCAATAAGAAATACGCTTTTGAACAAACTCAAGCCATGTCGAAAGGAGGGAGATGAGGACAATTGCCAAATTCCGATTCTGCAGCAGACTGTATGAAGAATTACTGCTACGCCTGAACAGCATGCCATTGACTCTAGTGACTTGGAATTCCTGAGATGTTAACCTTGGCCTCTCTTCTCTTCTGGCATGTGTGGCTGCACCTTATACAAGGGTATTTTTACACCAAATGAAATCCTGGCCTATGGTCTTTCTCCGTGAAAGATTTCATAGACTTTCATAGACATTAGGGCTGGAAGGGACCTCAGAAGATCATCGAGTCCAGCCCCCTGCCCAAAGGGCAGGAAGTCAGCTGGGGTCATAGGATCCCAGCAAGATAAGCATCCAATTTGCTCTTGAAGGTGTTCAATGCAGGTACTTGAACCACCTACAATGGCAGGCTGTCCCAGACCTTGGGGGCTTGGACAGTAAAGAAATTCTTCCTTATGTCCAGCCTGAAACGGTCTTGTAGTAGTTTATGACCGTTCGACCTCGTCATCCCTCGGGGCGCTCTGGTGAACAAACATTCCCCCAGATACTGGTGAGCACCCCTAATAAACTTGTAGGTGGCCATTAGATCACCCCTGAGCCTGCGCTTTTCCAGGCTAAAGAGCCCCATGGCTCTCAGCCTGTCATCGTAAGGTCTGTTTTCCTGA